ACAACGAGTTCAACGAGGTATGGCGTTCTTCGATCTGACGATTAGTTTTGGTATAGCAGCCAAAAAACTCAATTTTTAGGGTGAAAAAATGGGAATACGGTTTTGGTCAAAATGACGAGATTCACTTTTTAGTCAAAAATTCGATTTTTCTTTCCCGTTTTTCAGCCGTAGTTTAGCCAAATCAAGGCGTACAGCAAAAAGACCTACTGTTTTGAACAGCTTGCTAGCCATGCTAACGATCCCAGTCATTTTTAAGAAAATTTATTTTTTGACCCATTTTCGGATTTTTTGTAGGGGGTGCATCGTGTTTTTTTGCAAAATATGACAAAAATCAAAAATTTTCAGGTTTTAATGCCAATGGATTGGAAATTCGATTTTTCTTTCCCGTTTTTCAGCCGTAGTTTAGCCAAATCAAGGCGTACAGCAAAAAGACCTACTGTTTTGAACAGCTTGCTAGCTATGCTAACAATCCCAATCATTTTTAAGAAAATTTATTTTTTGACCCATTTTCGGATTTTTTGTAGGGGGTGCATCGTGTTTTTTTGCAAAATATGACAAAAATCAAAAATTTTCAGGTTTTAATGCCAATGGATTGGAAATTAAACAACGAGTTCAACGAGGTATGGCGTTCTTCGATCTGACGATTAGTTTTGTTATAGCAGCCAAAAAACTAAATTTTTAGGGTGAAAAAATGGGAATACGGTTTTGGTCAAAATGACGAGATTCACTTTTTAGTCAAAAATTCGATTTTTCTTTCCCGTTTTTCAGCCGTAGTTTAGCCAAATCAAGGCGTACAGCAAAAAGACCTACTGTTTTGAACAGCTTGCTAGCCATGCTAACGATCCCAATCATTTTTAAGAAAATTTAATTTTTGACCCATTTTCGGATTTTTTGTGGGGGTGCATCGTGTTTTTTTGCAAAATATGACAAAAATCAAAAATTTTCAGGTTTTAATGCCAATGGATTGGAAATTAAACAACGAGTTCAACGAGGTATGGCGTTCTTCGATCTGACGATTAGTTTTGTTATAGCAGCCAAAAAACTAAATTTTTAGGGTGAAAAAATGGGAATACGGTTTTGGTCAAAATGACGAGATTCACTTTTTAGTCAAAAATTCGATTTTTCTTTCCCGTTTTTCAGCCGTAGTTTAGCCAAATCAAGGCGTACAGCAAAAAGACCTACTGTTTTGAACAGCTTGCTAGCTATGCTAACAATCCCAATCATTTTTAAGAAAATTTATTTTTTGACCCATTTTCGGATTTTTTGTAGGGGGTGCATCGTGTTTTAATGCCAATGGATTGGAAATTAAACAACGAGTTCAACGAGGTATGGCATTCTTCGATCTGACGATTAGTTTTGTTATAGCAGCCAAAAAACTAAATTTTTAGGGTGAAAAAATGGGAATACGGTTTTGGTCAAAATGACGAGATTCACTTTTTAGTCAAAAATTCGGTTTTTCTTTCCCGTTTTTCAGCCGTAGTTTAGCCAAATCAAGGCGTACAGCAAAAAGACCTACTGTTTTGAACAGCTTGCTAGCCATGCTAACGATCCCAATCATTTTTAAGAAAATTTAATTTTTGACCCATTTTCGGATTTTTTGTAGGGGGTGCATCGTGTTTTTTTGCAAAATATGACAAAAATCAAAAATGTTCAGGTTTTAATGCCAATGGATTGGAAATTAAACAACGAGTTAAACGAGGTATGGCGTTCTTCGATCTGACGATTAGTTTTGTTATAGCAGCCAAAAAACTAAATTTTTAGGGTGAAAAAATGGGAATACGGTTTTGGTCAAAATGACGAGATTCACTTTTTAGTCAAAAATTCGATTTTTCTTTCCCGTTTTTCAGCCGTAGTTTAGCCAAATCAAGGCGTACAGCAAAAAGACCTACTGTTTTGAACAGCTTGCTAGCCATGCTAACGATCCCAATCATTTTTAAGAAAATTTATTTTTTGACCCATTTTCGGATTTTTTGTAGGGGGTGCATCGTGTTTTTTTGCAAAATATGACAAAAATCAAAAATTTTCAGGTTTTAATGCCAATGGATTGGAAATTAAACAACGAGTTCAACGAGGTATGGCGTTCTTCGATCTGACGATTAGTTTTGTTATAGCAGCCAAAAAACTAAATTTTTAGGGTGAACAAATGGGAATACGGTTTTGGTCAAAATGACGAGATTCACTTTTTAGTCAAAAATTCGATTTTTCTTTCCCGTTTTTCAGCCGTAGTTTAGCCAAATCAAGGCGTACAGCAAAAAGACCTACTGTTTTGAACAGCTTGCTAGCTATGCTAACAATCCCAATCATTTTTAAGAAAATTTATTTTTTGACCCATTTTCGGATTTTTTGTAGGGGGTGCATCGTGTTTTTTTGCAAAATATGACAAAAATCAAAAATTTTCAGGTTTTAATGCCAATGGATTGGAAATTAAACAACGAGTTCAACGAGGTATGGCGTTCTTCGATCTGACGATTAGTTTTGTTATAGCAGCCAAAAAACTAAATTTTTAGGGTGAACAAATGGGAATACGGTTTTGGTCAAAATGACGAGATTCACTTTTTAGTCAAAAATTCGATTTTTCTTTCCCGTTTTTCAGCCGTAGTTTAGCCAAATCAAGGCGTACAGCAAAAAGACCTACTGTTTTGAACAGCTTGCTAGCCATGCTAACGATCCCAATCATTTTTAAGAAAATTTATTTTTTGACCCATTTTCGGATTTTTTGTGTTCGTGTTTTTTTCCAAAATATGACAAAAATCAAAAATGTTCAGGTTTTAATGCCAATGGATTGGAAATTAAACAACGAGTTCAACGAGGTATGGCGTTCTTCGATCTGACGATTAGTTTTGGTATAGCAGCCAAAAAACTAAATTTTTAGGGTGAAAAAATGGGAATACGGTTTTGGTCAAAATGACGAGATTCACTTTTTAGTCAAAAATTCGATTTTTCTTTCCCGTTTTTCAGCCGTAGTTTAGCCAAATCAAGGCGTACAGCAAAAAGACCTACTGTTTTGAACAGCTTGCTAGCCATGCTAACGATCCCAATCATTTTTAAGAAAATTTATTTTTTGACCCATTTTCGGATTTTTTGTAGGGGGTGCATCGTGTTTTTTTGCAAAATATGACAAAAATCAAAAATTTTCAGGTTTTAATGCCAATGGATTGGAAATTAAACAACGAGTTCAACGAGGTATGGCATTCTTCGATCTGACGATTAGTTTTGTTATAGCAGCCAAAAAACTAAATTTTTAGGGTGAAAAAATGGGAATACGGTTTTGGTCAAAATGACGAGATTCACTTTTTAGTCAAAAATTCGATTTTTCTTTCCCGTTTTTCAGCCGTAGTTTAGCCAAATCAAGGCGTACAGCAAAAAGACCTTTTGTTTTGAACAGCTTGCTGGCCATGCTAACGATCCCAATCATTTTTAAGAAAATTTATTTTTTGACCCATTTTCGGATTTTTTGCATCGTGTTTTTTTGCAAAATATGACAAAAATCAAAAATTTTCAGGTTTTAATGCCGTTTCAGCCGTAGTTTAGCCAAATCAAGGCGTACAGCAAAAAAACCTACTGTTTTGAACAGCTTGCTAGCCATGCTAACGATCCCAATCATTTTTAAGAAAATTTATTTTTTGACCCATTTTCGGATTTTTTGTAGGGGGTGCATCGTGCTTTTTTGCAAAATATGACAAAAATCAAAAATTTTCAGGTTTTAATGCCAATGGATTGGAAATTAAACAACGAGTTCAACGAGGTATGGCATTCTTCGATCTGACGATTAGTTTTGTTATAGCAGCCAAAAAACTAAATTTTTAGGGTGAAAAAATGGGAATACGGGTTTGGTCAAAATGACGAGATTCACTTTTTAGTCAAAAAATTCGATTTTTCTTTCCCGTTTTTCAGCCGTAGTTTAGCCAAATCAAGGCCTACAGCAAAAATACCTTCTGTTTTGAACAGCTTGCTGGCCATGCTAACGATCCCAATCATTTTTAAGAAAATTTATTTTTTGACCCATTTTCTGATTTTTTGCATCGTGTTTTTTTGCAAAATATGACAAAAATCAAAAATTTTCAGGTTTTAATGCTAATGGATTGGAAATTAAACAACGAGTTCAACGAGGTATGGCATTCTTCGATCTGACGATTAGTTTTTTTATAGCAGCCAAAAAACTAAATTTTTAGGGTGAAAAAATGGGAATACGGTTTTGGTCAAAATGACGAGATTCACTTTTTAGTCAAAAATTCGATTTTTCTTTCCCGTTTTTCAGCCGTAGTTTAGCCAAATCAAGGCCTACAGCAAAAAAAACTACTGTTTTGAACAGCTTGCTAGCCATGCTAACGATCCCAATCATTTTTAAGAAAATTTATTTTTTGACCCATTTTCGGATTTTTTGTAGGGGGTGCATCGTGTTTTTTTGCAAAATATGACAAAAATCAAAAATTTTCAGGTTTTAATGCCAATGGATTGGAAATTAAACAACGAGTTCAACGAGGTATGGCATTCTTCGATCTGACGATTAGTTTTGTTATATCAGCCAAAAAACTAAATTTTTAGGGTGAAAAAATGGGAATCCGATTTTGGTCAAAATTATGAGATTCACTTTTTAGTCAAAAATGCGATTTTCCCTTCCCGTTTTTCAGTCGTAGTTTACAGGGATACATCTACAGTTTCGAATACTTTAGTATTAATAATATGTGAAAGCCAACTAGGATCTAACGAGGGAATTGCATGCTAGCTGTTTTGGGGTCGTAAAATAGTGCAGTTCAATCAACTTTCCCAGCGCCACTTCCGTATGTGCGTCACGCCCCCATTAACCTCGTGGAAATGTGACAGACAGGAATCGGACTTGAGCCTGGGCTTTATCCATCGCATCGGAACAGAGCGGAACAGACCAGTCATCATCATCATCGTTGTCATCACAATCTACCACCCCCGACCTCCCCCACCAATGGCCACCATTGTCATCAGGGTTCGGGTTCCAAATATATATATAATATAGAGTAGCCGAGTTGTATCTTTATTACGGTAATTGCTCATTGAACAGGAAATTATTATATGCGTGCGCCTCGGCGTGTCCTCCGGTCCCCACGAGCCCCGCGAATTCTTGGGGCGAATCCAGCAGGAACCCAGCACCCAACGGATATATAATAATAGCACAACATGCGTCTGAACAGGGTTCTGTTCCTGATTGTGGACGTGGAAGTGGATTGATTGGGGGGTTTTGGGTATTCAGCTGATGTCGTTCTTTTCTCTCTTCATCTTGTTGGGGAACAACGCTCGGAAACGAAAAAAAGGACGCCATACACAGGAGAGATTGAGAGACAGGATAGACAGTGGTGATAGGCGTGATAGGATGGGCATATGTAGATCCAATATCCAGATCCTAGGCGTTGGGCGGCAAGGCACGCGGCGGTGGTGGTGGTGGTGGTGCCTCCGGCTCGGCAATCAGATCGCCATAGCCCTCGCCATCGCCCTCGCCCATCAAACCGGTGGCCATCGGGGGCTCATGCCAATTCCACACATAGACACCATCGCCGGCTCCCAGATTGAAGTTGGCCCTCTGGCGTTGCAGAAGAATACGCATGTTCATCATGAAACGCTCCACGTCCTGCCGACGGTCGAGACGCAATCGAATCGCCGGCATTTGGGTGAGCCGTAGTCGTCTATCCACGGACCCATCCGCCGATCTCTCCACATGGCGATCCATATCGCCGGGCAAACGGTCCAGATTCAAGCGGGCGCGATGATGATGGTGATTCGCATTGAGACGTGGTCGAAACGGGTTCATAATCAATCCGTTATATTACCTATTTCCTTTACGGGGGTTCTTGAGATTTAGCCTTTTTGTCTGTTCTTTTGATTTGCTAGATTTTTGGGGGTTTCTGATATTTTGTAACTGTTCTTGTTAACCGGAATTTCGATCGAAAGGGACTGCAGCGAGTGGGGATTTTCGAATGACTGAATGACTGAAGTATTACTGACAGGGTGGCCACTAGGTATGCCTGATAGGTAGAAATCTCAAAGGGGACTGAGCTCTTGATTCAAATAATATTTAAAAGAAAGTATTATAAACTTATTTTAAAGGAAATTAACAACATTTTAGCTTTAATTTTTACATAAAACATTACCTGTTCTGTGATGTTTTCTTGGTTTTGATCTTGTAATTTTAACATTTTATAAAATTTTGCTTATAAAATATGTTTTTAATATATATAAAAGTCTAAATTTTGGTAATTCACAGATGCTTTGTCGAAAAAAACCGAAATAATCTAATTGCAGAACTTCCAGTAAAATACCTATGCGAATCTGGTCTTTAAATGCACATACTTGTGTACGCCCGATGCATATTTAATTAAACTTTCACCTCTTCAAAGCCGACAAAGAATCTTTGGCGGGGGCAAGTCGAAAACACTTTGGTCTCTCGCTTCAATCATTTTCATGAGGGATGTAGTGAGGATGTTCCAGCTCCAGGACCTGTGACTCGTCCAGGTCCTTGGAATACTTAAAAGCAACACGACAAGCTTTAATTAAATCAGTTTTAATTAATGCAAAATGCGAAATTTCAAAAGACGTCGCCAGGACTTGACTCAAATTGCCGACAACATGGAAAACAGAAAACAGAGGCGATGCGATGCGATGCGATGGAGTCCAAGGGACCAAAAAGGGAGTCCAAGGGATCCGGAGCCCTTCGAACGCACCGTTTTGTTGTCGCATAATTACAACTCAATTGTAATCCAATTTTGGCCAGGCATATAAATCCGATTCAGGCACAAAGTCACGCCCCCGGCCTGGTGTCTGTGTCAACTTTTTCGGTGTCAAATAAATAAACTTTTGACAGTCGGCAGACAGGCCGGCGGGGTTTTCGGATTTCAGGCCCATCATTCCCCCCCCCCAAAAATTCAACCCATCCGTTCAGCTTTCGTTGTTGTGGCCACCATCTCCACCTCCGCCACCGGAAATGTAAATTAGTTTTGGGGGGTGGGCCAAAATCAATGACTCAACAGATAGATAGATATGTGTGTACACATGTCCATCTGACCAGGAGCTCATCCATTCCCTGCCGTGGAAGGCAGAACTCTTGATAACTGCAAATTAGTTGCACATGTTCCACATGGGCCACAACTCAAAACAAGACGTGTTTGCACTAATTTGGCCAAAATCAACAGCTGTGTGTACATGTGCTACCATCTTTCCACGTTGCGTGTGTGAGTGAAGAAAACTCATCATAACTTTCTTATCAAAAACTTATTTCTTGCTCTTCAGATACCCCACTGAAGAAGCAGTATCTAAAAAAAGAACAGGGAAACGAGCGGAATTCTGGGGCGAAAAACGAAAAGGAAAACAGAAAAATTGCCTAGAAAACTTGTTATAATTACACACTGGCACATGCTCGTATGGGTGAGTGCACTGAAAGAAATTCACAGCACTAAAACAACAGAGAAAATATAATAAGATACCATTATTTGGACAATATCTTATCGATATCAAGCGCTATAAGGAATACAAGTTTTGATAATATAACAATGTCCTAAAGATATGGTCTTAACTTTAAAATATAATAAAATACCATTATTTGGACAATATCTTATCGACAGCAAGCGCTAAAAGGAATATAAGTTATGATAATTATGAATGTCCTATGTATCTACCTTATATGATCTTAACTTCAAGAATGCAAAGTAGTACATAAAACATGGTCACAAATATAAATGGTTAGGATATATAGCTTCCCTTGATATTCATTGATGTAATTATATTATTATTATAATAATTCTTATTTCTAGTATTTTAGTATATATTTTTTTCAAGCGTATAGCTAACTCGGTGACTGCAGGGCAAGGAATTTGGAATGGGGGGACGTGGAGAAAATCTGGAGTTTTGGGGGCATGCATGAACAGGCCACATATGTTGGACTTTGGAGCAAACTTTTGCGAGTTTTCGTGGCGCCCTTTCACTATCCCCTTTATGGCACCTCCATGTCTTGGCCAACCTCCCCATCGCAGGATCTTACAGTGTGGAACGTGTGTGTTTTGTGGTTGAGTAGACGCACAGTTTAGGCCCCAAATGCAACAGCTGTGTTGTAATGCCCCCTTCGAGATAACCCCCTCCGAAATGTCCTGCTGGAATTTCGCCGGCTGCCGAGATCCCGTGACAACTTCCTTGCTAATCTCCCCGATGAGCCAGGATAAGCCAGATAATTACCTTAAAGCTAAGAGGTGAGCCCATGTAAGGGAGAAGTTTTATATATTTAACGTATACTTGTTAAAAAAACTTCTTCTCAGTGTCGGTCGACGCTAAAGGCATACCCGTTAACCATCGACTACCTGATTCCAAAAGTATTGTATACCACTCGACCTGCCACAAAAGCCCCGTAATATCTTTAAAAAATAATAATGACAACAGTTTCAATGGAAGTCTGAAAACAATCAGAGCAGCGGCCACATGATGCCAACTTTTCAGGGACTCTTCTCAGAAATAAAAACTCGCATCGAAAGCCTAGGGAATTGTTAACGAAGGCCCCCAAAAAAAAGAATGGGGTAAATACTACCGAAAAAAAGGAACGACACAAACTTTTGGGCCAACTTTTTGTAGTCGAAGGGAAAAATATACAAAAAAAGAAACGATGGGGACCCCGCCAAACTGTCGGAAAATGCCTAAAAATGGTTTGGCCAACACCGAGGAAAAAAATAAATATGCCAATGAAATGGGTTTTCCCCAGCCCATCCGAATTCCGTCGGCAGATGGGGGCGTGCAGAACTGATGGGCCGTCTGGGCCAAAAGCAAAGGGAAAGCCATGTGCTCGCAAATGCGGGACACGTACTTGCGCTATAATTATTTCGTACGTGAGCACGTGAGCCCGCCGAAAGACAATGAGTCGCCGGATCCGGAGAATGGAAAACAGAGAACGGAGAAAGGAGAAAGGAGAACGGAGTTCAAAGTCCCGGAATCCGGAGAACGTCTGCGTCTACGACCGGAAGAAGATGTCGGAGCCACTAGGGTTAGCATACAACACAAGGCACATCAAAGCGGTTGAAGACAGTGCTCCCCAACTTAAAGACCACATTGTATTCTTCCTGCGAATGGAAAAGATAACTTAAGAGGGAAACTAATCAAAACAGTCTAAAAAAATGTATTTCTTTAACTTGAAGATTAAGTATTTAATCAATATTTAAGAATCAAATTCAATTTCAACTATTTTTGAAGGACCTAACTTTATCTAAACATTTTTCTTTTAGAGAGTATCAGAATCATAATTCGGCTGTACTTTTTTCCTGTGTATCGTAAACCCTCCATCACAAACGAGACAAAGGCAACACGTGGCTTCAGTTTTGATTCCCCCAAACGCTAATTTTCTTGACAGCGCGACACAACATATCAAAATGTTTGGGGTTTCCCCTCCAAATAATATCCGCCCCAGGACAAAAATATCTTTAGCATCCCAGCTGCCTACGTGATGCTTTATTTTCAGGTAAGGTCTTTACCTTGAAAGTCACAGACATGATTTTTCATCATATTGGGACATTTATCATCGTTTATTCTTCTATATCAATATATATTTCCCTAACACAGTGAAACAACTAAACTATACGAAAAGCTTATAATAATAAATGAAACTTAATATGGGTTGATAATGATTTTTATGTACTTATGTAGGAACATAAAAAGTGAATGTTTTCGGGGTCCATTTCCAAGAGAAAGCCACAAAATTCAGCGCTCCGAATAGCACTTGTTCTGAGCGGGCACTTTGGAACCATATATCTAATTAGTGGACTGTCCCCATGGTACCCAACTGGTCCACAACTCATCCACGGTGTCATTAGCATCGTCATGATCGGAATAAACGAAAACAACCACCACTTCGGCAAAGGAGACCGCATGCAGCTTAATTCTCATAAAAGTCACATAAAGTAAATAAGTTTGATTATAAGCCAGAGAAAGGGGAACAAGGCGGAGTGAAAAAAATGGGACAAGAGTAGCACACTGCAAAAAACAAAATACATTTTAATTAAAAGCAGAGGTTAACCAAAATCACTGGTAAAAAAAAATGAAATACAAATTTAAGTTACAAATAGTTCTTAAATAAAGTAGTTATTTAAGAACCCTATATATTTTTTAAATCATATATTAAACTTATTTAGGACCACATACCATTAGACTGCATATTATTTTACCTATAAATAAAACCTATTGATAACTAAGATTTTAAAATGATCTTTATAATCTATAGATGATTTTCAGGTTGGCCAAGTGATAAGATCAAGATTAAAAGCTTAAAGACAATGTTGTAGCCTAAATCTCGTTAATAATTACAAAGTCAACTTAGTACCTTAGTTTCAGCTTTATAGCTCTATAACTTTATAGCTTAAGAGACTATTGAACTATTTTTCTGGCAGTGCCAATAAAGTGGAGGAGTGCCGGACAGCAGTTTCAGTTTCAGGACCTGGACCTGGACCAAAACAGATCCTGGCTTTGGCAGTTGTCACCGCCGCTGGAGTAATTAACATTCACAATGAAAATGAAAACGAGCAACTGCAGCGGTCGGATGGGTGGAAGTGGGCGTGGTCGTGGTCGTGGGCGGTTGTCTCTGTGGGCGGGTATTTTTGCGAGCGGTAAAAGTTTTTAATAACCCGCAACAACAAATACGGCGGGGACCACCAAGGACAGCAGCCGGGGAAATGGAGAGAAAAGTGCGGGGAAATGCCGAGGGAAATGCCGGGGAAAAGGCGAGGAAAAGCAGGCAACGGCGGCACAGAGCAACCGCCAACAGCCACAATAATGACACACAAAACTTTGACAATGTAGTCGTGCGTGCAACCATCCCTCCCCAAGCCCCCCCCTACGCAATCCCCTACCCCAACCCCAATCCACAATCCACAATCCGCAATCCCCCTCGCCACCCAAAGGCACACACCTTGGCCCGCAGGACCCACTTCCGTGTCCAGCGGAAAAGGATTTCTGCCACAACGAAAACGGCAATGAAAACCACAAAATG